TGCCTGATATCGCAGTACTCTTCCTGACCAACTGGATGAGTAAAACACCAGGGGCCGCTCTTTTTGCCGCCTGGATTACGACAGTAGTTTTTGCTGGTTCGCAGTACTGGATAACGGTCGACATTGAATTCCCTAAAAAATACCTGTTTATTGTGATCTGATGTTTGACAAGTAGAAAGAAACATTCTGCACACCGAGCAAAACTACTTCGCTGGTTCACAAATAGCAGTAGCATGTCCAAAACGCTCTTCTGGGAGAGAGAAAGCTGTCATTGAAAAATTTTGATAGACAGCACAATGGCGAGTAACTTTTTACTTCTACATCCCGATGATAATTCTTCTACATCTTAAGTTTCAATAATCAGTGAAATACTATTCATTTTTAGTCGCATTAATATTAAAAAAATAGCGGGATGGCACAATGCTTTTGTGCAGAAAACCGAAAGTTTGACTCGGTCATTAGGATAGTCAATCTCTTACGATTCGTTCATTCGTTTCAATGGTAAATGGGTACTAACGAATATTAGGAAGTCAAACCTTCAACGGTTTGTTTGCGAGCAAACTACAAAAAAAAAGGAGACATTGCCAGCTTGGTCTGCGTTTGTTGGCACTTGCAACTCATGGAAAAGCTTATTGACATCACTCACTTTTTAAAAAAAAAAAAAACCAAAAAATAAAACCCACTTAACAAGTTTTTTTATTAGACGTGTCAAGTTCGAGACAACTTTTTGCTGCACAATTTCACGCATTTATATATTCAGTGATTGTACCTGGAAGTGCTCTGCGTCCAATTCATACATCTTTTGCCGGATTTTGTTGATGAAACACTGCCCTCATAGGTTTTACCACTATCCACATAGCACCAGTGAGGTGATGAGTCCTTGGAGGAACCGAATGATGATTCACTACTGCCAGTCCCCGACTAAACAAAATCCATCGTTAAATAAGAAGCATCAGAATTTTGATATATTTTCAGATCCTTGCAGAATATTTGCTTTGGCTCAAATCTGAACTGTGTAGTGATAGAAGCGGCCAACCTCTGGAACATTGACGATCGGAATGCAGTAATCAGCCTTCGGATCCAGTGACTGGCATTTGGGTAGCAGAGCTTTCGGGTCGTCACCAACAAGATCGTGCTCGGCTGCTAGTGCCAGTTCCTTTGGACACAATTCTGCCTAGATTTTAACCATTTAACTCTGAATCTAGCGAGCACAACAATTTACTGAAGATCCCACAAACAATATTCATCAAAGTCAATAAGTAAAACTCCCCTTATATTCATTCACTTAGACAGGGGAAACACTTTCGCGAGCAGCAATCGTCAACAGCAGCGATTTGCTGGCTAGACTGTCGAAAGGACCCTCTTTCAAGTACTAGTTACAAGCAAGCTGATGGCCGATTTGGCACCCTGGCATGGGTCAGCTCCAATTCTTCATCAAAACGAATGAACAAATCGTAAAGCGATTGGTTGTTTCAGTGGTGGCGTCGAATTCTTGGCTTTTTACAGGACGGTAGCGGCAACCCTTATTATTGCACACTCCTTTTCTAATTTAATGAATTACAAACAAACTTGGAGGGCATCACAGTCCTTGCGACAAATCGTTAATATGTGAGGTGTTCCGGAAATGGAGCGATGCCGCGTCTCGGATGTTTTATCGCACACTTTGTACATGTGATAGCATGCAACAGCATGTGAGTAATGCTTGCACTGGGCCGATATATCGGGGCTATTGTTAATGAACATCATCGCCGCTCGTAAATTCCGATCTCAAATTAAGAACAGTTTTGAGGGAGCTGCAGTCCTGGGATATCAACGAAGACGAGGTTCTGTGAGATTAGAACACCTTACAAGATCTGCTGACAGCACTGACAGTTGGACAAAGAGTAAATCCGTTTGGAGGATAAGATTACTTAAAATTGCTTTCTGATAAGAAACTGGCGATATTTTGGAATTTCTAATTAACAACGATAATTTATTTAAAAAAAGTCAATTAAAATATAAATTTATTCCCTGTCACCTCCTCTGCAAAAATTGCATGCTAGCCCACAAATATAAGACTTTTTTCTAGTTCAAAATGAGCCAGAAGTGTCTACCTTCATCAGTGACAATTTTTGCCTGATTGCATATGCGTAAAAAGCTGCCGTTTTATATGTCTCAACCGATGTGCAAATAAAAACTTGAAAGGTACAACGGCTAGGTGAAATGCAACCATTCCAAACGAATTCCATAACAAAAAAAGTAATGAATAGCTAGCTGTACAAAAACGGGGGGAAAGGCGGTTATTCAGCAAAGAGTCATTTCCGGATAAAATTTTAAAAAAAACGCACCAGTAGAGAACAAAAAATAAGAATACTAACCGACATCGTACAGATCTTCTCGATTGTCGCTTGTGATCAGAATGTGGCGTCCAGTAAGATACTCGCGACATGCTTCACCGCGGTACAGCACACAGTCGCCGACCTTTGTTGATAGTCCGTCTAGCCACCGATCACTGGGTGCCATTGGAGCATATCCTGGTCCAGCAGCATTGTCCGGCACACTCCACAGACTATCCTCAGATTCTTCCTCGCTTGGCAGTCGTCCCAAACCCCCCGACATCGACGATCCGGGCCCACCGAAATCCTGTCAAGTTTGCTACTATTCTTTTATTAAGACACCGCAATTTTCATAAAAATAACTGATTTAAACATTTCTGCTGAGCATAACCACGCTCGATTCATCCAGATCTTCATTCATTTTCCAGTGCTAATATAGGCGCACGCACATGCAAAGAGTTTCAGCTTTCCGTTTTGTCTAGATCACGAAATCGTTTCCCGCCAAAGAAATCTGAATATCTTTTTCGGGGATCCGTACGCGAAATCTAGGCGCCTATGGGCGAAGACTTTGAAATGGGAAGGTGACTCAAAGGGGCAGTAGTATGCCCCCAAAATTTTAGCCTCCCAGATTTCCTGGTTGCTAATTTGAAAATGGGTGACAAAGTTCACTCGCTTCTGAACAAGGAAACACAAGCGCGAATGACCTCTCGACAATATGCATTTTATGCGCTTTGTGCTGTGTAACAGCAGTACAAAACGCATATTGTTACGGGGTTGTCTGTGTGT